GAACTTATAGACGAACCCTAATATAAGGGATCCAAAGTTAGCCTAGAAAACCTATTCTACTTGTACATAAAGCAAAACAACTTTTTTTTCTTAACTTGTTTTGTTCTAACAATCGAGCTGACACATGTTACTAATTTAACAAAATGACCCAATTGTCAAAATGTGATAAAGAGGCAATAGTGGCAGAGGCTAAAAGGAAATGCGAGAGTATGCCAAGAGAGAACGAAAAGGAGAAGAATAATTTTTGTATTTCTATATTATATTTCTTACATGTATTCTGTCCAATTTATACAAAATATGTAAGTACAAGAATGGAAAAAATCTTGTAATGAATGTATAATTACAAAAAGTGGAGTCAAGGCATAATCTCAGCATGATCAATTAGTGCATGATTTCAGCACAATAATCACTCATGTGATGTCACGCCCGCGGCCCCACACAGGAGTTCCTCGCGGTGCCCACACAGGTATGTGACTCACTAGGTACTGTCCCCCCACCTTAAGGGATTTCTTTCGCCTCCCCCACCACTCGAACCCAAGACCAAGGGGCTATAGGGCTATAGTCAATTGGGAAGCATGGTGAGTACCATTGGGCTTGCTAATTGACTATAGCCTCTTGGTCTTGGGTTCGAGTGGTGGAGGAGGTGAAAGAAATCCCTTGGGGGGGGGGGGGGGGGGGGGGGGGGGGGGGGGGGGGGGGGGGGGGGGGGGGGGGGGGGGGGGGGGGGGGGGGGGGGGGGGGGGGGGGGGGGGGGGGGGGGGGGGGGGGGGGGGGGGGGGGGGGGGGGGGGGGGGGGGGGGGGGGACAGTACCTAGTGAGTCACGTACCTGTGTGGGCATCGCGAGGAACTCCTGTGTGGGGCCGCGGGCGTGACATGTGATTACTGCATTCCATCACTCCCCCTCAAGCTTGTGGTTTGTATATGTTATAAACTCCAAGCTTGTGAAGCAGATATAAGTGCTATCTACTGCATAATGGTTTTGTAAAGATATCTGCTTGTTTTTCTAAAGTACGAATATGTAGAGTCTTGATTATCCCTTTTTGAATTTTCTCCCTCATAAAGTGACAATCGATCTCTATATGTTTTGTTCTCTCATGAAACAATAGATTTAGAACAATATCATTTGCAGCTTTGTTATCATAGTATAAGTGAATTAGTCTTTTTACTTGTATCTCCAAATCTCCTAGTAGCCTTAGAATCCAGGTGATCTCATATGTAGTCTTGTCCATGGCTCTTTATTTAGCCTCTGCTGATGAAAACGATACTATCGACTGTCTCTTTGTTTTCCACAAGATTAATGCTCCACCAAGTTTTATACGGAACCTATTGAAAGATTTTCTTGTCATTGGAGAGGTGACCCAATCAGAATTGTAGAATGCAGTGATATCTAGACCTCCCTCCCGAGGTAAAAAGAGTCCAAGACCAAGACAACCTTTCAAGTAATTAAGAACCTACATTGCTACATTCATGTGAGATTGTTTCGGTCCATGCTTGAACTAATTGAGAATATGAACTGCATAACTGATGTCTGGTCGTGTCATAGTAAGGTAAATGAGACACCCTACCACTCTTTGATAATGTGATGGATCCTCCAATAGTGGATCATTTTCTGAAGCACAATTATCATGCTCCTAAGTGGTGAGCTTGGTATTTTGTTCGATCAGAATGACACTTGGTTTGCATGTTGATAGCCCAGAAATCTGATACAAGTTCTAGGACATACTTCCGTTGACTAAGTGAGATGCCTGCAGGAGATCTAGCAATTTCAATTTCCAGAAAATATTTTGGCTCTCCTAGATCCTTTATTTAGAAATGCTTATTGAGAGTCTCCTTTAGGGTCTTGGTAACCTTTTCATTGTTTCTTGTGATTAAGATATCATCGACATAAATGATGAGGGCAATGAATAAGTAACCTTTGCGCCAAGAGAACAGGACATAGTCATGTTTGGATTGGACAAAACCTATGCCTGTAAGTGCTTCTATGAATTTCTTATTCCATTGTCGAGATGCTTGTTTTAAATCATAGAGAGATTTCGCAGATGACATACTGTATTCTTCCCCTGTCTGTGAAGACTAGGAGGAAGATCCATATATATTTCTTCATGGAGATCACCATGGAGAAAGGTGTTATGAACATCCATTTGATGAAAAGACCAATCTTGAATAGATGCCATTGAAAGAAAAGCTCGGATAGTAACATGTTTGGCAACAGGTGAAAATGTCTGTTGATAATCAAAACATTCTCGTTGGGTGAAGCCGTTTGCGACCAATCTAGCTTTGTAGCATTCAATCGAACCATTAGCACGATATTTGATTTTGTAGACACATTTGCAACAAATGGGTTTAAGATGCAGTGGTAAAGATACCAAGTCCCATGTATGATTATGAGCTAGAGCAGTAAATTCATCTGCCATAGCTTGTTGTCATTGAGTGTGTTGACCAACATTAGAGTAACTAGTGGGTTCATGGTCGACAAAAATCTGGTGGACACAGACTTTGTGTGCAAGAGAGAGACGATCATAACTCACATAATTTGAGGTGGGATAAAGGGTACCTGATGAAGCCAATATTGTGGAACAAATGTAGTCTAATGTCCAGATCAACGGTCGAGTGCTACAGGTGAATCCATTAAGAAGGTGTTGGAGGTGGTACAAGAGATTCTAAATGAGCTATTAATGGAGTGTTAGTTGACTAAGTGGATTTTGCTTGTGGAGTATGAGAAATAGGACTATGAGGTGGTAGCAGATCCTTTGATGGAGGACTAATGTCAATAGCTAGCTGTATGGTAAAGGAAGGATATGTTGGGAAATCATCCTCCAAAAATATAGGCGGCTGCTCAGAAGAACTCAAACTATCAATAGTCTTGATAAAAGGAAAACTGTTCTCATGAAAAGCCACATCCCAAGAAATAAAAAATATGTCTGCATTTGGATCATATAGTCGGTATCCCTTTTGTAGCATTGGATAACCCATAAAAATGCACTATGTAGCCCAAGGACCAAACTTATCACAAGACCCAGTAATGGCAAAGTAGTTGAGGCAACCAACAACATGTAGATGATCGTTGTCGAGTGTTTTACCAAATAACATCTCATAGGGAGTTTTACCACCAAGAACTCGGGTTGGCATCTGATTGATCAGGTAGGTAGCTGTGATCACATATTTGCTCCAAAATTTCATAGGAATGTTGGCTTGGTATTTAAGAGCTCGAGCTACTTCTAGCAAGTGTATGTGTCTTCTCTCAACTACCCCATTTTGTTGAGGAGTATATGTGTAGGAACTCTCGTGAAGTATTCCAAGGGATAGGAAAAGGGATGAACATTGATGGTTAGAAAAATTCATGGGCATTGTTAATTTGGACTCTTTGAAGAGATGTATGAAAGTGTGTGGTTACCACTAACATGAAATTCCTAATGTGAGTAAGGGTTTGGGCTTTTGATTGCATTAAAAATACCTATGTTCCCCAGGAAAAATAATCTACTATTGTAAAGAAAAAAGGGTACCCATCATGGTTAGGGGTGTGATAAGGTCCCCAAATATCAATATGGATCAAGGCAAAAATTTACTTAGCAGCAGATGTGTTGTGTGGGAAAGTGATGCTTGATTGTATTGCTAAGGGACACATTGGACATTTTGTTTGAGGAATAGATGCATTGTGACCCAACCGTTGAAGGAAAATAAGAGATTTTTTATTCATATTTGTATTACAATGAACATATTTATTTGTAATACAAGAAGACAAAGAATTATAAACTCCATCAGGGGTCTAGTACTATAAAACATTATTAACTCTACCCAAGCCCATCAATTTCCCAGTTGAAAGGTCTTGAAATTCACATATATTAGGAAGCAATTTCAAGAGACAACTATTATCGGTGCATACTTTGGATACCAAAGTAAGATTGAAATGAAAAGCGAGAACAAAAAAACATTATCAAGCATTGATTTGTCACTGAGACAAAAGGTTCCTATATGGGTGGTTGGGGCAATATTTCCATTCAGCATACGAACGGACATAGATGATGTGGTGGATTTATGTGAGAAATATTTGGCGACTGTATATGGTCGACTGTGTGCTGATGAGACATTTTTCGACGGAAATGGCCAAAGACTTGGCCATTTTGCAGCCATGGCCAATCTATGGCACTGTTGGAGGCCATCGATAGTGGTGGCTAGTTACCGGCAGTAGCTTGGGGTGGGTAGGGATGTTTCTGTCAAGTTTAAAACGTTTTTGGTTGCTAGGGTGTTTTTGCTAAATCTGAAAAGTAGGGGGTTAAAAAAAATTATTCAAAACATAATAATAAAAAATACTATTATATTAATATTTAAAAAGGAAGGCAATTTAGTAATCTATATAACATACCCACCCATTTATCCTCTCAACCAAACATATTATTCACCAATTTGTTCAAACCAACTAAATATATTTTCTAAATATTTTTAGTTATCTTTAAGGTAATTTTTTATTTTGTTAATATAATACCCTTTATAATAAAATATCATCCTTTATAATAAAATATCATATGATCATACGTCTCCTTATTTCCTTGTTTTTATGTCTAAATCCTTTTAGGTACAGTAACCTAGATAATCAGCTTGTTAAGATGGGAGGATATTTGAAATGATTCGTAGTGATTTGGTCCATCACTTATAATCACTAGTTATCTTTGATGTTGACGTAGAAAGATCTCGAGATATTTTGCTTTGTTTGATTTAATTTAATTAAAAAAAACTCTTGAAATGATATTTAAAATAAAATATATACTAAGCATTATAATTTACTTTATCACATTATTAGAATTGGTTCTTTAAAGTTAATTAAATTAAATGGATTTAATGAAGAGATAAAATGATTTTTTTTTAATTTGTAATAGATGTTAATATTCTGTAATAGGGTTTTATTTAAAATTTTTCCAGCTCATTTTGGTTACTATTTTATCGTACAAAATTAAATTCTATCTTAACAGTGCAACCATCATTCAAGGAGCATATTGTGTATTCTTGAAACCAAAAGGAATTTAGTTTCACAGGGGTAGATCTGGTAGCCTCTTCAGTTTATCAAATCATGTTCATTCATTAATTTACCCATATTTCTATTGATTTAAAGGGCATATTCATTTTTATCAAATCTCATGGGTGAAATTTAAGTAACCCATCTGATAATTTGATTACATATTACCCTGTAAACAACGTACGTTATGTTCTTTCCTTGGTTTACTCTAGAAAAAAAATCTCTCAAAAACAAGAACTAATAAACTCCTCGAGTAGGTTCTTCATTTTCGAAGAGAAGGGCCTTAATGTACTCCTCGAGGCTTGGAAGGCGTTGATTGTCATCATAACTGTACATCAAAGGAACCATTCTTGCAAGATTAAGAGACGCCCTTGTGAAAGAAGCTGGAAACGGGTTCGGGGAGAGGCATTCTTTATTTAGGCACTTCCATGCATCTGAAATCTTACTCATAGCATGTTCTTCAGCAGCTTGTACACTAGACCCTTGGTGTTCCTTCATGTAGTAATGAACGTATGATCCATCTTTACCTTCCTGATTCTCATCCTGCAGTTCATGTAATTAACACCTTAATAATTCTTCTATCAAATGCTTAAAACGAGTGGACATCATTCACTTATTAGAATGGAATCTATTAATGTAGTTGTCATATCATGAACGTCTCTACTTCTGTGATAGACAATAATAGTGTCAGGCACTTTAGCGTGGTCGAATACTTGTCATTGTCAGGTACAATTAATGCATTTTTATTTGTTTGTTAATTATGTTCTAATATTTTATGGTTTCCATTCAGCAAATTGACTAGTACAGTAGTACGTAAATATCTAGACTTTTCCATTGCAAAGTTACCTTGGCACTTCCCAAGTCGTCCCAAAGCCGAAGAATTGTTGCGGTGGATGATATTATTCCGGGATTATTGTCAATAAGTTCAACAGTTTCCTTTGTTACATTCTGACCCAGAAGAAAGAAAATGTGCACGAGTACCACGTGTACCCCTGAACTAATAATCCCATTTTTCAAGTATTCTTCAGCCTTAGGCACGTTCTCAGAAGCAAACCATTTTGCTTCAACAAGAAATGCGTTGCACAAACTGGACCACTGTAGCAATCCACATTATCTTGCAACTATTAGAGGATTAAATTTTCTCAAAAATTAAAAGCATAAATTAGGTAGTTTGGTATTTGTTTATACGCACCGCTTTCCTTAGTGAGTGCACAGGGTTAAAACCATGCTCCTTGTACACCTTGTAGCTGATTTCATTAGTGATATCATCAAGAACCTTAAAACATATCTTCATGTAGTCTGGAAGTTGATCAATAGCCGCATGATCCCATCTACAAGCATTGGTTTTGCAAATCAAATTATTGGGATAAGTAATTAATAAAGAATATTAGTTACGCTCTATTGATAAATACATACCTGTTAACAATTTCTGTAAAAATAGTGAGTTCATCAAGTGTCCCATAAACATCAAAAATATCATCAATAATGTAGACGAAGGATATGGGTTTTGTAAGCTCAATTCTTTGCCACGACGAGTTTGCATCCGTGAGGCAGGCCATGGACCAAATATACCATTTAAGCGGTTGTTCTCTTGCAAACTCCAACTTCTTAGCCAAACCGAGGTCTTTCCACCATCTAATATATCACATGTTTATATGCATATTAATTGGAGTGGTAAAATCTGATATGGTAATGCATAATTAATCAAGTAACAAGATCAAACTTACTTAGATATTTGAACAATTTCCCTTCGGTGCAAGGATTGGACCAAATTGAAATCCATTTTCGCTAGTTCTTGAAAAACATGTATCCATTCATTTTCACCTTGGAAATTGCTAAGAAAAAAGTTTTTTGCCATGAACCTTGCCGAGCTTCTGTGATAGGGATACAACAATGTATTTCTAACAATCTTAGCTTGGTAAGGGTCAAGATAACTCATCGATTGATTGAGAAGCTTGGAACTAAGTTGCCGAGCCTCATCAAGCACATCTTCTCCTCCTATACAAAGCTGTGATGCTTCATACAGACCCATCAATGAATTGATGTCTTCCCTTACTCTCTGTTCAAACTTTCCGTCCTTGTTAATAAATTTGTTAAAAATATCTGCATAATCACACCCAAACGAAGTAAATTAACAAGTGCCAAACTAAAAAATAAAATTAGTAACGAGTATCTGTTAACCAAAAAAAAAACAAGTGTACACACCGGTAGGCACATTGTAACCTTCTTGTCTCAACAGTCGAAAGCGAAGAGGAATCTCTTGAAGATAATGATGTTGAAAAGGGTAAGTGGCAGATATCACATATTGCCTGCGTATAATTTGTTGAATCTCCTCCTGGAAGTGGTAATCAATTCCTAGGCGTTGAACAGCATCAATAATGGCCAATCTCAAAACTATCTTTTCTTACTCTGCTTAGTATATGCTTAAATGCCTTCAGTTTTCGCGCATGTTCGACATGAATGTCTTCCTATAAGAAAAAATTATAATTCAGCTTTAAATTTTGGTAACAGCTTAAAGGTTTGGCAAAAAAATAAAATAAAATAAAACAAGAAAGATGTACTTACAGCGAAGCTGGGTTGTCGGATTGGATACTTCAAGTGTTTCAAGAGGTTAGATCTGAAATCAGTATCGTTGTCAAGGGAAACGCTTTGTTTTTCATAATTGGCTGACAAACAGCCACGTACAAGAAGGTTTGGCTTGCCTGTTCCTGAAAACTTTTCTGGGACAATTGAAATAAAGGAGGGAACAGAAGAAAAAGCTGGGGAAGAGAAAGCCATTGATTTATATTTATTATTTACCAAAATATTTATTGAGCTATTGAAATATATTCGGGGATATGAAAGAAAAAGTGATCCAAATTTTATAGGATTCATCTCCATTACACTACAAATGAGTGACAGGGCCGGCTCAAGGGCTAGGCAGGTGACCTGCCTAGGGCCCCCAAAAAAATAAGGCCGAAAAGGCCCAAATTTTTTATAAATTTTTTTTAATATATTATGAAAATAAAAAAAGTATATAATTTCTTATCTAAGCCAAGGGGCCTAAAAAAAAAAAACAAAAAAAGCCTAAATTTATTATTAACTTTTTACATATATTATATTCCCACCCAAAGTTTGACGAAATCGCAAGTTTGTACCTCTAGTTTCATATATTTTAATTTATACCCTTAAATTAACACATTAAATTTCTTTTAACAATGAAAGGCTAAAATGGTCATTTATTTGTTTCAAATTACTCATCCCCAATTCAATCCCAAAATTTAACATTCACATAAATCATCTCCACCCCTCTTCCGCCGTCGACCGTTTAGAGCCAATTTCGGTCGAATTTTTCACCAAAATAGATCGGAACCATCACTTTATCGTTTTCCAAGTGTTTTTCCAACCTTGATAGCCCTCAATTTGGCCATTTTTTTATAAATCTCGCAACCTAGCTCCACTGCGTGAGACAGCCATTTTCGGCCTTTTCAGCGTGTACTTGGCATCGTTGGCTTTCCCCAACACCACCATCTTCCTCCCCTCTGCCTTCTCACCAAAACCCCTATCATACCTATTCTGTTTATTCTGCTAATCACCGACCACCGATACCTTTTGGGCCGTCACTTCTTAAGTCTTTTCCGGTCAATCCTAGCATTGGAAATCACCAATTTCACCACCCATCGCTTCTCCAGCATCTGCTCTCCACCTATTCTAATGATTTTGCATCTCAAAAGACAAGAAAATTAAATTTGAAATAATTTTTTTAATATATGTTTATATTATTAGAAGGCCCCAAAGTAACTTTTGCCTAGGGTCACAAATGTTCTTAAGACGGCCCTTAATGACCATGTTATGCACGTTGAGCTACATAGTATACGAGCAACCTGAAACATGTTTTGGCTGTTTTATTTGACGATTAAAGAAAATTAAAATTGTGCTTAACAACCGAAAGTGCATATGTCACCAATAATAATGTGTACACATATTTCATAAGTTGACAAACAACACTTATAATCTTGTGTAGGGGTGTAAACGAGCCGAGCCGAGTCGAGCTTTTGGCTTATCGAGCTCGGCTCGTTTACAACAGTGTCGAGCTCGAGTCGAGCTCGAGCCAGCTCGATATCGAGCTCACGAGCCTTGTCGAGCTCGAGCTCGATAAGGGCTCGCGAGCTCGTTATCGAGCTCGATAAGGCTCGATCAAACCACCATTTATCCAGGTTTGATCAAGCCAAGTTCCCATTTTTTATAGCAATCTACCTGTGTACAGCATTTCATATTTACATCCAATGTTGAATTAACCATGATAGTTTTGAACATTACAAAATGTCTATTACCTTACAAAATAAAAAAACAGTACGGAATATATACAAATAACATTCCTAGGAGATTACCAATTTCAGAGTGTCTAGTTCGCGATTTGGGATTTAGGGGTCTTTGATTGCGATTTGGGATTTAGGGCAACTCGGATGGGGAACTGAAATTGAGTAATTGACGCTTTGTTTTGTGTATCGTGTTATTTCAAATTTGCACTTTGGAGGGGGAAACTATTATTTTTTAAAACTTTTTTCACTGAAAAATATCAGTTTAATACCTAATAGTTTAAAAAATCACAAAAATACCCTATTAAGTGTACAGTGCTTAATCGAGCCGAGTGGAGCCAGGCTCACGAGCCCACGAGCCGAGCCAAGCTCGCGAGCCCACGAGCCAAGCTTTACTGTGTTCGAACCCGACTCGGTTAACAAACTGAGTTCGAATCGAGTTGAACCGAGCCTTATCGAGCCGAGCTCTAAACGAGCTTTTATCGAGCTGGCTCGACTCGTTTATAGTCCTAATCTTGTGTTTTGTCAAACTTATACATCACCAATAATAATGTGTACACATATTTCATAAGTTGACAAACAACATTTATAATCTTGTGTTTTGTCAAACTTATGAACAAAACACAGTTTGATTCTTAAACACTTAAAAGCATATCACAATCAATATCAACATTAAGATCACACTGATATGCAAAAGAACAAATCAAGACAATTCTTAAAGGATATGTCAAAAACATAAACCAAATCAACAAAATAAAGTTATCCAACAAAGCACACACCAAAAAAAAAAAAAAAAAAAAAAATTAAAACAAGTTCAGTCAAGACAACAAAAGAAATTACTCCCCGGATAATCAGTTGTCAGTCAAAAAATTACTCCCCCTGAGACAAAAATCACCGCATTCCACATTGCACCAAATTCAAAACTACTCCCCCTATTTTTTCATAGGTCGACGTCTGGATCTTGTAGACTGTTTGAGTTTTCCACGAGGAGTAGCAGAAGTCTGATTGAGAGGGATATCAATCAGCGGAATAAAGATATCAATTCTTAAAGGATAGATGAAAAATTAGAGGTGGGAATTTGGTTCTAGGCCCAATGGGACTGTCTAAAAAACCGGACCCAAGACTGATCCTCGGGAGGACTGGTATTAAAGGGCCTGAGCCCAAACCTGGACCTGGGCCCAAAAGGAGGGACTGGTCCTTGGGTTGGTCCGTCCTCTAGGGCTTGGGCCGGGGACCGGTCCAAACCCCCACCCTTTTTTTCTTATACACCCCTGGCAAATACCAAACACCACCCCCCCAGTTTTTATTAAATTGACAATAAATATAGGGGCTAAACTAATATATATATATATATATAATCATTCAACCGTTGGCTCAACGATCAATTAGGGGGGCAGGGGAATTTTTTTTTCTTTTCACTTGCCCCCCAAACGTAAACTATAATAACCCCATTTCCCTCCATTTTCCTCACAACTCTCAATCTCCCATTCTCTCTACTCCAATTCTCAAACTCTCTTCAATTTATATTTATATTTAGTCATTTATTATTTATATTATTCAATTTCTTCCATTTTTTAGTTTCATCTATTATTCATATTATTATTCATATTATTAAATTTCTTTCATTTTATTTATTTATTATTTTATTATAAATTCATAATGGATTCCTAAAATTATGCATTCGGAGGATCATCCCCAAATGAGTATTATGTTCCATCCACCGAAGAAATTGAAGGGTTTGATCTATTTTCACCCTTTCCAGAGGTAGCAATGCCATATCCGGAAACAACTGGGACTACGTGCATCCAAACACAAACGAGCCACGACACCACGGGCATGGCAAGACTATCAAAGAAGGCCATGTCTGGGGTATGACAATACTTCACCAAATCAAAACGGGCAAAGCCAAATGGGAAGGGGGAAGAAATGTGTGGGGTTTGTAATTTTTGTGCAACCGTTGTCGGCATTTAGCGTGAGACTTTGACGATACGGTGACACCTGGAAAAAGAAGCCCAACACCCCCACCCCACCCCAATTTATATAGCCCGGACCATCCGGTTCAACTTCAATCACACCCGGTAAGCAAATTTTAATCTACAATCCTCAACTCTCTCTGCTTGGCAATACAATGCACTCGGAGTATGAGAGGCAATAGCAAGATACATAGTTACTATAGACCCTCCTCTTTCTTTATCTGAACAACCTTATTTTGTTGAAATGATTAAGAATATTTTTTGTCCAACATATAGCCCTTTTAGTAGAGGTACAAGTAGAAAGGACATACTAAAACTTTATAAGATCAATTTACAATAGAATTTGAAAATTTTAGGGATATATCTATTGCACTTACTTCTGACATATAGGCTGCTAGATCAAAAATAGATTTTTTGAGTGTCACAATAATTACCTAGATCATAGTTGGCGCTTACAATAAAAATTGATATGTTTTAAACCATTATATGCTAAACATAATGTTGAGACAATTTCTTTTCCAATTATTCAAGTTTTGCAAGATTATAATGCAGCTGCCAACACCACGACAATTTCTTTATTTGAAAAGAGATTGGATCCGCATGATGACGACAATTTTTTTCACCAGAGATGTGCTTGCCACATCATTAATTTAATTGTTAAAGTAGGTTTAGAAGCTATACATTCGAGATTGAAAGGGTGCGCGTGGCTATTGGATTCCTCGTCGGTAGCAATACAAGATGGACTGAGTTAGTAAAATACTTTCACCAAGAGGAGCTGCATATTCGACCAAAGAAGTTATGTACAGACACATCTGTCGGTTGGAACTCCATGTTTTTAATGTTGCAAAGAGCTATGTCAACCGCAAAACAAATTACAAAGTTCATCAGCTGGAAGAACTATCCGGACAAAGTCATCAACGATGATGATTGGATGGTTTGCAATGTTTTTCATTCATTTCTTAAAGTTTTTTACGATTCCACTAATACATGAAGTGGTATTTATTATCCTACTACTAATGTAGCGTTAGATATTTAACTTCAAATTTCTAAAAATTTTACTAAACATAGATATGATGCAAATTTAAGCAACATGGTTTTAAAAATGGAAACAAAATACCTGAAATCTTGGTTAGATATTCCATTAATTCTTATATGGATTATGTCTTATTGTAGATATTAGGTGTAAATTAAACGTATTTAAATGTATGGTTACTAAGATAGGCCAGCTTTTAGATTATGACTATAGCTTTTATTTGATGGACTTTTACAGAAAATTGGAAAGCCTTTTTTCTTTATATCAGACTAGGTACAATGGAATGCCCAACAACAGCAGAGACGACCAGTAGGACTCTGATGAAGATATTTATCAACACGGATCAAGCATGTAGACGTATATGAAACTCAATAGCAGTGGTAGTGGAAGTAGCAACTCCAACTCATACAGAAATGGACCAAACGATCTGCATCGGTACCTACAAATGGACATATCCTACATGACGAAGAAGGAGAAACGTGAGATGGATCTGCTTCAGTGGTGGAGCCAAAATG